CACTCCCTGAGCTCATAGGTTCCAGACCAGCCTAGGCAACTTGGTGAGACCTCATCTCAACAGTAAATAAAAAAATTAGCCGGGGGTGGTGGCTCATGTCTGTAGTCCCAACGACTTGGAAGGCTGAGGTGGAAGGATTGCCTGAGTCCAGCAGGCTGAGGTTGTGATAGCCGTGAGCGTGTCACTGCACTCCAGCCTGAGCGACAGAGTGAGATTCTGACTCAAAAAATAATAATAAAAAGTAACATAGCAAATATGATCAAATTAAGCAAATCTAATATGAGGTGAATTGAGAGGCTATTTCTAGTTGAGTCAGGAAGGGTCTTTTTGTAGCAGAGCTCCTTAAGATTATTATTTTAAATAAGACACAGTTTTCTCCAATCTACAAGCCAGGTAAATTTTCTTTTGTGATAGAGTTCTAAGTAATTAGCACATACTAAACATAGGTCGGCGCTACAGGTGCTTTCCTGCTTCACTGTATTTGGACTGCCATTCTTAGGTCAGCTGTAAGTCTGGAATTGCTCTGCACATTGCTACAGGGTGCAAGATATGGTATCTGTGATGTACAGCAGTCCCTCCTTATTCTTGGGGGACAAGTTCTGAGATCCTTAGTAGATGCCTCAAATTGCAGGCAGTGCCAAACCCTGTGTATACTAAGTTTTTTTGTATACATATGCTAAATTTATAAATTAGATAGAGTAAGAGATTGACAACAGTAATTAATGATATAATAAACAATTATAACTATATGCCACCATCATTACTTTTGACCTTTGGGGTTACTATTAAGTAGAATAAGGATTTTATGGCAGCCGGGCTCGGTGGCTCAGCCTGTAATCCTAGCACTTTGGGAGGTTGAGGTGAGTGGATAGCCTGAGGGTTCAAGACCCGCCTGGGCAACTTGGTGAGACCTTGTCTCTACAATAAATAAAAAATTAGCCAGGTGTGGTAGCGCACGCCTGTAGTTCCGGTTACTTAGAAGGCTGAGGCGATCGCTGGAGCCCAGCAGGTCGAGGCTGCAGTGGCTGGGAGCGTGCCACTGCACTCCAGTCTGGGTGACAGTGTGAGACTCCAACTCAAAACAAACAAACAAAGGATTTTACTTAAAGCGCTGAGATAGTGTAACAGTTGATTTCATAATTAAGAGGGCTACTAAGTGACTAACTGGTGGGTAGCCTATAAGGTATGGATACTCTGGGCAAAGGAATGATTTACGTCCTGGGTGGGACATTTCATCATGCTATTCAGAATGGCATGCAATTTTAAATCTATGAATTGTTTATTTCTGGAATTTTCCATTTAAAATTTTCAGACAATGGTTGACTATAACTGAAACTACAGAAAGTGAAACTGCAGGTAAGGGGGAACTATTGTATGGGGTCCAAGTCCAGAAAGGGCAGAGTTTTCAATCCACTGGAACTGCCAGAGTGTGATAAGGATGGAAAATCATGCACCTTGGGCTAGTAGGTCTAAACACAAGAGGAAGATGATACACCTAACCTTAGTTGCTACAAGTCTCATGGCAGTCTTGGGCGATTTCAATGGGCTTGCCTATATGATCTCAATTGTATGTAGATAAAGTATGCCAGTTCTTCAATAAACAGACACAAAATCTCACCTTTAGAGCTAAGATCCCAAGAAAGAAGATATTTTCGAATGCTTTTTTCATTAGTTTCAGTCTTACATGCCACTATCTCCTCCCAGTTTGTGGCTTGTTGGATGTGTATTTTCTCCATAAACATTATGTGCTACACCGATAACTAAGCACTATACACACAATGCAAAGCAAGATGGTCAAGACTTCCTTGACCTCCTGGACCTTACATACTAGCTTATATTTTAGTGGAGGAAAGAATATAGGAGATAGACAATAGAAAAGTAAAAATAAATACAGACAATGGTTCATGATCATAAACAAATGAAAAGGAAACGGACACTTGCTTTAGTTGGAAACTAGGAAAGACATCATTGAGGGATAATACTTAAGTTGAGCCTTGAATGATGAGGAACCAATCACATTAGAAGTGGGAACAAATACAAAGTCCAAGGCAGCTGGCTCTCTTTGGGAAACTGGCAGGATAGCAAGGATAGAGTACAGTGAAAGAGAAAAAAAGAACATGAAAGATCAGGATGCAAAGGTAGGCAGAACACTGCATAAAGGGTAGGGTACGGTAAGGAGTTGGGTTTTACTCTAAGTTCTTTTGGAAGCCACTGAATATTTATTAATTTATTTGAGTTGGAATCTCACTCTGTTGCCCAGGCTGGAGTGCAGTGGCACGCTCATGGCCACCCCAGTGTCAAGCTGCTGGGCTCTGGTGATCCTTCCGCCTCAGCCTTCCAAGTAGCTGGAACTACAGGTGCTACTGCGCCTGGCTAATTTTTGATTTATTGTAGAGACAAGGTCTCGCCAAGTTGCTCAGCTGGTCTCGAACCCGTGGGCTCAAGCAATCCACTTGCCTTGGCTGGGCCACTGAGCCCGGCCAGTTGAGATCTATTATGGAGTCAGAAGTGTTAGGAGTTACACTTGATAGCACTATTCAACATATTATTTCCAAAAATACACATCAAAATGCCTTTACTCTATATGAAGTACTTATTACTTTTCAAATGAATGTGTTTCATAAAGTTTAAAATAATTTCAGATAATTCTGAATAGGGTACTTAAAATTTACAACATATGGCAAGTATTCAAATTATCACATAAATGGTAAAGAAAAGCATTCAAATCTGAATAACAATCTGTCTTTACTGTTATAAAGTACAGATATGATTGAGTTTACCATTAACAAATAACTATTATTCCCCACTTTAAAATATGATTACCAGTATTTGAAATCTTTTCAGAGGAGGCAGTGCCTGCATTTCCTGGGGCAACCAACAGTTGTTTGACATGATGAGACTGTGCAAGTTTCCAGGCCAGTGCATGTTCTCTTCCTCCATTGCCAATTATAAGTACTCGGGCTGCCATTGCTCTGTGTGCTAAGCAGAAATCGAGAGGAAAATGAAACCTGCAGAAAGAAAACCACAGTTGTTATTTTAGAATGCACACACTTTCAAACTCCTGATTTCTAAATATGATTTAAGTAATCAATTTGTACTTACACAAATTACATTTGTATCCAGTTACTCTTTTTTTTTTTTTGCCTCAGCTCAAGCATCATCTTCTTGGAGCCTCTTAGACCAGCCAGTTACTCAGTTTTGAAAAACTGGGATTCATTAACTGGAGAAGTATGACTGTAGTCATAAGGATAAGGGAGGTATTTTAAAAAGAAGGCAGACTGGCATAGAAAGTTAGGTTTAGGAATCAGTGATTTAGCTCCTTATCTGAGAAATACTTTCCTCTCTTTGGGCTTTGCTTTTAGATTTAAAAATCAAGCGTCAACTATGAAAAACGAACCTTGATGTTTTACATTTAGACCTAAAAAAATTATAATGTTTTAAAATCCTGAGATCTTATAGATAATAGACTTTAAGGTTATCATACAAGACCATGTGTGATGGCTCACACCTATAATCCCAGCACGTTGGGAGGCCGCGGTGAGAGGATTGCCTGAGCCCACTGGTTCGAGATCAGCCTGGGCAACTTGGCAAGACCTCGTCTCTACAATAAATCAAAAAAATTAGCCAGGTGTGGTGGCGCATGCCTGAGTTTTTGCTACTTGGAAGGCTGAGCTGGAAGGTCGAGACTGTGGTGGCCGTGAGTGTGCCACTGCACTCCAACCTGGGAAACAGAATGAGACACTGACTCAAAATAATAATAATAAAGTTATCATACATTGAAAGAAATAACAAAGACTAGGGTAAGCAAACGTAACCTATAAAGGGCCAACTAGCAAATGTTTTCAGCTTTTGATAGCCCTATGTGTCAAAACTACTCAACTCTGCCACTATAGCATGAAAGCAGCTATAGACAATATATAGATAGATCAATGTGTCAACGTCCAGAAAAACTTAATTGACACAAACAGGCAGTGGGCCAGAGGCCACTGTTTGCCTATCAGTGCTCTAAGCAGTAGGAAGCCACCAGAGGTTTGCAACAAATAAGCATGACTGTTTCAGTAAAAGTTTATGTATGAACAATGTAATCTGAGTGTTTTGTAATTTTCACGTCATAAAAACCTTTTTTTTCTTTTCCTTTTTATCAACCCTTCATATTTGGTGGGCTGTAGAGGTAGCAGAAGGATTTGGCATGTAGGCAATAGTTTGCTGACCTTTGATTTAAGTAGTGTGATATGTTAGAAAATTGGTAGAGATGGCAAAAATCAAATTCGAACACACTTCACTTTAGTTCTGGCATTGAAGTCTAAGCAGGTGGCAACAACTGCTATCAATCTTGTATCAAGCTAGCAGTGTAACTTTGGCTATGTAAGGATTAACTGAAATGAGGTTATAAATAAAAAGTACAATCCAACCAAAGGAATGAATAATTTGGTACATTAGTTTACCGATTTTCTTCTTTTTGAGTCAGAGTCTCACTCTGTCACCCAGGCTGGAGTGCAGTGGCACGCTCACGGCCGCCACAGCCCTGACCTGCTGGGCTCAGGCGACAGGCGCGCACCACCACGCCCAGTTAATTTTTTGATTTACTGCAGAGACGAGGTCTTGCCAACTTGCCCAGGCTGGTCTTGAACCCCTGGACTCAGGCAATCGCTCTCGCCTCGGCCTCCCAAAGTGCTGGGATTACAGGTTTGGGCCACCGAGCCCGGCGATTTACTAATTTTTAAAAAGACATTTACTCATGCAAAAGGCAAACTAGTAACTGGAAAAGCAAAACAAAACAAAAAACTGAAACATAAAACTGTGAGCTACTAGGTTTCCGTATTTACATAAAAATTTAAGTTGATAAACTAACAGTTTTGAGCACTTACCTGTGCCAGGTGCTATTCTAAATGGTTTTCATGAATTACCTTACACAATTTTCATAGGAATTCTATGCGGTAGATGCTATTACCACCGCCACTTTACAGCTTAACAGATGGACGCCCAGCACTTGGCCAACCCCATCCACCGCACTTAAAAATAAGACGGTTTGTGCAGTCAAACCAGTAACTACGGTTTCATCCGATTCCTGAAATCAAAGAACCAAACGAAAGCATAAAAGTACCCTGTTAAAACAGCAGAAGGAGACCACGCACACACACCAGTCGACCACGCCGCCCGCGCTGGCCCACTCGCCGGAAGTCGGGCCTGCAGCCCCGCCCCGCCCCCCTCCCCATTGGCCCGCGCAGACCTCGGTCTCCGCGGCGAGATAATCTGGTGCGATTCCCTCCCGCTCTTGGGCGCGGCCTGAGCCTGTTCTCCAGCAAAGCCGCCGACGCCCTGGCACGTTTGTGACATGCCGCTGTCGTGTGGGGTGCCACGTAATGTCTCCATTCCTCCCAGAGCCTCCTGAACTCTGAGGAGTGGGAGCGCCAAAAGGCTCAGCCCGCGTTGAGCCAGTTGGGCCTGTATCACCGGGGTAAACCGGCCCGCTATTGCGGAAAAATCCTGCGACATGCTTGGCTCCTGGGGAGACTATAAGGCACTAGGCTGTGAAAGCAGGTCGCTCAGGACCGCTGGCCTGTTGCTAAAATGAGGCTGATTAGAGGATGCAACGGGAGAGACAAGGAACAGCGTGTTTTTCGTATGCACGCGACGGTGGGGGCGGGGGCTGATGAGTTCTTTCCCCGATGCATCTCCCCGACGAAACTAAATTTAGCGCCACCTGCAAACGCTTGGAGGCTCTGTATCAAACACCATTATGCCCTTCTTGCTACCTTTCTTCAAGCCTTTCGTTGCAGGCGCTTGGTCGCTACAGCAAGCTCTTTAAACCTCCCAAACACTGGTTTCGGACTGACAACTTAAGTGGACATAGCCGCCTCGAGAGAGACTTCTCCTGTAATGGCGCCTGCGTCAGATACTAACATGGCGGACATAGTCGTGCGCGGCGCAAACGTCAGCACCTCTACCCCAGCCGCTCAGAAACAGCGGAGTAGAGCCGGGCCGTGCTCACTGATTGGCCCGTCGGCGGAGCGTGCCGTTCCGGACGCTCCCATAGGAGCCAATCAGGAAGGTGAGAGAAGGAATTGGCCGCTGCGCCTCCTCCCGAGGCATGCTGGGAGCCTGGAGGACTAGCGAGGAGGAGTTGAGAGAACGGAGCGGACGCCATGGCGACCAACATCGAGCAGATTTTTAGGTCTTTCGTGGTCAGTAAATTCCGGGAAATTCAACAGGAGCTTTCCAGGTAAACACCTTCCAGAGTCTTCTGTTCCCAACGGACCCTCAGGGCCCCGCCTAGCCTTCCTTGGCACCTTTCTTCAGAGACGCTGTCGTTCCTCGGCTCGGGCCCCGCTACGGCCCCGCCTGGGCCTGGGATCCATTTTCCGGCCCCCCCACCGCCCCCCCCACTCGCTCCCTTCATTCCCCCCGAGGAACTTCGCCTTTTCCGAGGTAATCCCAGACTGCATCTTTAAGAACCGACTTAAGATGCTCACCCTTCTCTTTCGTTTGGGTCCCCCCTGCCGTTTAGTTACTGTAGGCCTGGTTGTCCACCAGAGCCGGGCCTAGTTCCTTGCTCAGCTCCTCCTCCGCCGCCGCCGCCACGTTCCCCCTCCCCCTCTCCGCCTCCGCGGATTTCGCCGGCCGGTGCCCGTGACCGGAAAGGGTCTCTAACGGCCGTTTCTTGGGTAATCTTAAATCCGCTTTATTACGGCAAGCTTCAGACCGTTTGGGGGTCTGGATCTATTGATTAGATTCATTCGGGCCCTAGTGTCCTGTGGTTTCCACCAGACAGTTCTAACAGATTGTAGATTTAAATTAAAACAGCTCAATTAACGCCTGCTACTTTGTTAAAATATTCGAGATGGGGAGGGAAGGGGACTTTAAAATACTAGTCATTAATTTTATCAAGTGGATTTTTTGTGTGGGTGTTTTTTCTTGCTACCCCTACCTCAATTGACATATTTGACCAACACGCTATTTTTGCCATTGCTGGTAGACTTTACGTAATTTTGCCTTTGGCTCCACGAAATTTAAAGTCGGAGAGATTTTCAAAGAAACAGTTGTTACTTCCAAAGGAAAATAACGTGGATTATGTTGCAATAGTGGTTGTCTTTAGTATTTTTCCTTTGAATAAGGTTCTCATTTCTTTAGTGTGCAAAGGTCGGAAAAAGGTCTTGAAACGTAAACATTTGTTCCGAGTTCATATGTGTTTGTTAATTGTGTTTTAAAAGTTGAGACCGAGAGCAATTTGAATTTGAAGATCGGCCGAAAATCAATTATAAATTAAGTGCCCAAAGTAAGATTAAGTGATAGGTTATTAGGGCAGTGATGTATTATTACTAGAACTGTTGTTTTTGCAGGATGTGGTTTTTTTTAAGTGGGAAACGTATTCATTCACTCACTACACTGCTGTTTAAATGTTTGTGATATTGCTGATGTTTCAGGATGAGACAATACCTGAACTAAGGGAGTATAATTTTCCTGAAAGCTTTAGAACAGTTGCATGCAGTAAGTAGTTGTATTTATTTAGTTAAATAAGCTTTGTTTTATAGCTTTTAAAAGTAAAGTCTTTCCTTTAGAAAATGAGTGTTTTTGTTTTAGGAAATTTAGAAAATATAAAAAACCAGAAAAACAAAAGCCACCACAGTTATTGATGCTCTCAAGTCCTTTTTTTTGCAAATGTTTTTCATATGCATTGTGTGAAATGTGATAATCTTTTTGATCGTTTTTCATCTGTATTGTGAACATGTTCGTGAAAATCCCAATCTTTTGGATGTTCTTCACGGTTGCATCATGTTCTATTGTAGGAATATACTGTTGGACATTTAGGTAGTTTGAAATTTTCATTGCTTTTCGGTAATTGTAACTTAACATCCTGGTTGCTTTAACATGTAATGATGATTTCCTTATAGACTAATTTTAAATTAGTTACAAAACGTAGTTACTTTTCTGGTTTTTAAATTCATGATAATTGTTTATGTTTAAGTGCATAGGAAAAATGTAAAATAAAGTGCTCCAGAAAGAGTATCTTAAAAAAAATAGGCAGAGAAGTTTATTACTAGAGGAATATGCAGCTTCTCTTCGAACAACTCGTAATGCATTGATAGTTTTAAAACAAACTTTTGATTATTTGCCATTTCAGTGAGGTATTTTTTCCCCATCTTTTACATAAGTGTGGGTAATGAAGCTGGCATTTAGATAGTTACGTATATAGGTGGTGTTTAAGAGCGTGGCTTCTGGTTTTGAATACTAGCTTCACCTCTTAGTAGCTGTGTGACTTTCAGCTAAGTTTCTTGGTGTCTCGCTTTTCTCATTTATAAAATAATAGTGGTGATTTTCAAAGTTTTGTTGGAATTAGGTGAGTTACAGAAGTGGAATGTTGTGGCAACAGTTAGTAGTCAATAAATGTTTATTGTTATTACATGATTCATTATATTAGAAAACCAAATATTTCTTAATAACATTTAGTTAACTATGGAATATTTTTGGGTTTTGACCATTTATATTTTTATCAGGTATTGTGAACATAATTTGATGTGTTTTCAATGAGCTAAAATGGAAGATAAATGAAAATTGAACTATTTTTTGAAATTATTCGTTTTTTTCTGAAAATTGTGCAAACTGACACAAAAATAAATGACTAGGTGAATGACATCTTCTTATGTTAAGATTCCTTTGGCCCTGTGAATTGAAATGTATCTTTACTGTTAGTATAAATGAATTACCTCTTGTTTTATGGGAGTTTTTTTTACACCAGAAATTTCTTAATACCAGAATTTTTGATAATTGGGTAATTACATAAGTTAGTATTTTTTTTAACTTTTATGGCATTTCAGTAATAAGTTTAATCCTGAACAGAGGTTATGGGTTACCCTGTTTACTTGATGTGTCAGTGGCTGCCTTTTGTGTTTCTTGTTACTATTGATGGTGTTTGTGATTTATGCACAGGTGTGGCTTTATTGTGACCATAGTTTCTACCATAATACCAGGTTATATATTTTTCATTAGATTTGTGCTTGGAATCTTAATTTTCCTGAGAGAAATGCATAGGTAATATGAAAAGTTTCAAATTACATTTCTGAAATTATTTCGTTTTAAAAAGGGTATACTTAGGAATCTGTTGTAAAGACTTTTTGTTAGCTTTCACAGTTCTGAGAACTTACGTGCAATTGTGTAAAAATGAAAATGTTCTAAATATAAGCAGATAGTGTTAAGCATTTTTAGCAGTGAATATCCGAAATAGAACAGTAGACATATGGTTATCTTAATTGGTTATTTATATTTACCGGTTTTTTGGATATGATGTGATATAATATTAATGAGTTTTGATAACTTTTCATGTCAAGTGGAAGGAGTGAAGGCCAGCTGAATGGTGAAACAAATACACCCATTGAAGGAAACCAGGCGAGTGATGCAGCTGCCTCTGCCAGGAACTTACCAAATGAAGAAATAGTGCAGAAGATAGAGGAAGTACTTTCTGGGGTCTTAGATACAGAACTACGACATAAGCCAGGTAAGTTGGAGGTCATCTGATGTCTCAAAAACTTTAAGATTTTTTTTTTTTAATTTGAAGACTATTAGAATTATTTTTTGACTGCAGGGCATTTAAAATGTTCATTAAAAGCAGCCGGGCTCGGTGGCTCAGTCTTGTAATCCCGCGCCTTTGGGAGGCTGAGGTGAGTGAATTGCCTGAACCCGCGGGTTCGAGACCTGCCTGGGCAGCGAGACCTCATCTCTACAATAAATCAAAAAATCAACCGGGCATGGTAGCGCATGCCTGTAATTCCAGCTACTTGGAAGGCTGAGGCGGAAGGATCACCGGAGCCCAGCAGGTTGAGGCTGCAGTGGCTGAGAGCGGCCACTGCACTCTAGTCTGGGCGACAGAGTGAGACTCCAACTTAAAAAAAAAAAAAAAAAATGTTCATTAAATTTAAAACTTCAGTCAATTTAAGTTTTAAATTGATTTGCTGAAGACTTTTAAATACTCGTTAGAAAATACACAAGTATTGAAATGTGAAGGCTGGGCGCAGTGGCTCACGCCTATTATCCCAGCACTTTGGGAGGCCGAGGTGAGAGGATTGCCTGAGCCTACAGGTTTGAGACCAACCTGAGCAACTTGGTGAGAGCTCATCTCTACAATAAATCAAAAAAATAAAATTAGCTGGGCATGGTAGCGCGTGCCTGTAGTTCCAGCTACTTGGAAGGCTGAGGTGAAAGGATTGCCTGAGCCCAGCAGGTTGTGGCTGCAGTGGCTGTGAGCATGCCACTGCACTCCAGCCTGGGTGACAGAGTGAGACTCCAACTTAAAAAAAAAAAAAATGTGAACATTGATGTACTTGTTTGTTTTGCTGGTAGAACATAGTTTTATCTTTATTTGATTTGGTTTCTTACTACCAGGAATTTGAATGTGGGTTTTTGTTGAATAATTGTATACATGTCGGTTTTGGGAAGAGTAGTACCCTGGGCCAAATCTGCAGTGATGTTAAAAACATGGGAAATTTTATTTTATAGCTCAAGCCTAGAGCTTGTCTTGTTGTTGCATCTACCCACTTAAAAGTGCAGTGAGTAGAGAGGAATCATTGGATGGTTAACTTTTTAGAATTGATTAAATAATTGATGTTTAGAAATGAAGGATTTATGATTAGCCTCCAAAATAGTAGTCATTATCTTAATTTATTTTTGGAATCAGGTTTGTGATATGTTCTTTCTTTTTTTGTTGTTTCTTCCTTTTTTTGTGTATATAGAGTGTGATTTAAGAAGCATAGACTTTAGCCAGGCTTGGACTCATTGATCTAACAAACATTTCTTTGATTGAAGTATAATTTAGCTAATATTTGGTATTTTGTAATAAACAATTAATAAAAAATGATTCCTTTTGCTTTGGCACGTGTCTTGTCAAATATTGGTTTATTTTTCTTAATGGCCAGGTGCTCTGATTAGTTTTTTCTGGGATTCCTAAGTTTCAC